ATTGTAATTGGCAAGTTTTAAAAAGGTACGATCAATAGGAATTGATATAGGGAAAGGAAAATGGGGAAAATGGAAAATGAAAAGAAAAATTAGAAGGAAAGAAAAGAAAGAAAGTAAAAGGGAAAGAAGATGGGAAAGAAAAAGGGGAAAGAAAATAGAAAAAAGAAAAGAAATATAGGAAGGGAAAAGAAAAGTGGAAAGGACACGGGAAAGTAAAACGATAAGAAAAGGTGAAAAGAGGAAGGGAAAATGGAACTAATGGGTAAAGGAAGGGAAAGAAAAGCAAAGGGGAATCAAAGAATAACGGTAAGAGATGTAAAAATGGGAAAGAGATAGAGATGAAGAGAAAGAAAATGGTAAAGCGGAAATAGAAAAAGGATAAGCAAAAGAGATAGGTAGAGAAGAAAAAAATGGGTAAGAAAATGCGGAAAAGGAATTTTAGAAAGTAAAAGAGAAAGAAAGGATAACTAGAGGAAAAGAGAAATGAAGGGAAAGAAGAAGGGAAAAAAATGGGGGAAAAAATGGCAAGAAAGGAAGAAAAAAGGAAAAGGAAAGGAGAAGTGAGAAAGGAGGAAATACAAAGGTGAAAAGCAAAAGGAGGAAAAGGAAAGAATATATGAAATAAAAATTATTAAATACTCACCTGCAGAGGAGTCAATGGCGACTGCTTTCTTTAGTAATAGAGGTGTTAGCACTATACATCTTTTATAGGGCATATACAGTACTTCTAATATCCACCGTTTAAAATTTTAAACTACTGTCAGGTGATGTTATCAATTTAGGTCGATGTCTAAAATAAGATGTGTTCAATAATAAATTTTGTCATATACCTATAAATTTAAATATATTATTAATAGCATCTAATAATTAAAAAAAATAGATTTATATATAATATATGAAATGTTCCCGTTTTGATGTATTCTAGATAATTTTATTTCAAATAAGCATAACTGTAGAAATATTAAGCTCAATAGAACCATTATTTATTAACGATTTTATTTTGTAGAAAGATTAATATTTATGCAAAGAATAAGGCAACTAACGATATGGCACGAGGTGCGAGTCAGTAAAAATATATTTTATTAACTAATTTCTTTTTCTTTTCTTAAGTTATATATACATTTTTATAAGTCCAAATTAGAATACAAACGAAAAACAAAAAAGTAAAAATATTATAAAATATAAAAAGTAAGGTTACGCCGAAAGTTATAAAAATAAGGTTACGCAATAAAGTTATTAAATTACAAAAAATAATAAAAATTAGATTACAAAAATTCAAATGCAAAAAACAAAAAGTATTAGATTATAACGCAACATTCTCCCTCTTCTGATAATTTCATCGGAGAAGTCACAGAGAGTTTGTTGTCCAAGTGGTTTATCGTTTTAGTAATAAATTGTATTACAAATCATCATACCGTTGGCTTGTCCCAATCGTTGGTTTGTTTAAATCGATTTTTGTTCCCTTTTTGTTTAAATCGTGAGCTTGATATCCATATCGAATGTTTTACAAATCGTGACGTTGATATTATTATCATTTTTCAAAATCATTATTATCATCAGTAAGTTGCGAATATTAAGAAATAATATTTTATCAAAATATAAAAATAAGTGAAGAAATGATAAATCAATAAGATTGTTATATTTTTAGCGTTTTAATTTTTCGCGTTTTAATGACTTTTATTTTTTCGCGTTTTAGTGTTTAATTAATTTTTGCGTTTTAGTATTTAATTTATTTTTATTTATTTTCATTCTCCGAGGTTAAAATATGCAAATAAAATATTATTCACATTTCCCTCTCTTTAAATAAAAAATTTAAATTTCACACCCTAGTTTTAATTCAAAAAATTCTTCATAAGATAATTTTTAGAAAATGATCTCATCACATCATTTAAATATTTATCTAATCTTCAAAAGCTTTATTTCAAAAACATTTTTATCATCATTGATTTTACATTTTAGTGAAATTTATAACATGCCTTTATCCTGGCATAAAATCTTAATTTTTAATAACTTTTCTTCTTACGTGGATAAATATAATAAGTAATCATCATTGGTCTCACAAAATAGAATTCATAACCTATCGTTCAACTTCCATATCAGTTCTTTCTAGGTTGTCACATTAGGTTAGGTGCTGGTTATCATATTCCAGTCCAACATCCAGAGCCAGGACACCATGAAGAAAGAAACTTTTTGCATGAAAGAACGTGCTAAGGTTTGATTCTTGGTCATCTCCATAGATTAGGCATTGGTCATATCAATAGATTAGGCAGTCACAATAAATAAGGTAGTCATAATAGGTAGTCATCTCCATAGGTTAAGCAGTCTCCATAGGTTAGATAGTCATCTCAGTAGATTAGGCATTGGTCATATCATAGATTAGGCAGTCACAATAGATAAGGTAGTCATAATAGGTAGTCATCTCCATAGGTTAAGCAGTCTCCCTAGGTTAGATAGTCATCTCAGAAGATTAGGTAGTCACAATAGATAAGGTAGTCATAATAGGTAGTCATCTTCATAGGTTAAGCAGTCTCCATAGGTTAGATAGTCATCTCAGAAGATTAGGTAGTCATCTTTTTCTAGTCCACCACCCAGAGCCGGGGCACCATGCAAAGAATAAGGATCTTAACGATATGGCGCGAGGTGCGAGTCAGTAAAAATATATTTTATTAACTAATTTCTTTTTCTTTTCTTAAGGTATATATACATTTTTATAAGTCCAAATTAGAATACAAACGAAAAACAAAAAGTAAAAATATTATAAAATATAAAAAGTAAGGTTACGCCGAAAGTTATAAAAATAAGGTTACGCAATAAAGTTATTAAATTACAAAAAATAATAAAAATTAGATTACAAAAATTCAAATGCAAAAAACAAAAAGAATTAGATTATAACGCAACAATTTATTTTATAATTTTACATTTTAAATAAATAAGAAATATAGTAATAATGAGCTCATAGGCGTAGCCAGAGGGGGGAACAAGGGGAAATTCCCCCCCCCCCCTTCAGAAATTTATCACTTTTTGTAAATATCATTTTTAGCTATAAAAAATATCCCCCTTAGCCCTCCCCCCCCCACTCCCTGACTCTCAAATAGGTATGCATATATCTTAAATAATAATTTAAAAGAAAGAATGTAAAAGTTGATATTTTTTTATAAAACTAATCATCATAATTTATAGATTTTGGGGAAAATAAATTTATAAATATATAAAATAATAGATCTATAAAATTACTAAATAAAATAATATATCAAATATAATTTTTTATAAAGTGAGTAATTTTAATTTATTTATCTTAATAAAAGTAAAAATAATTATAAAACTATTGATAAAATTAAATCATAAATTAAAAAAATATTAAAGCACAATATAAACAGTGGAATATTATATGTCGTCGATTTACAATATATCTAATTATCAAATGACAATCAAGTATTTTTACCAATATAACGAATTACATATTTTACAGAAAACTATAAAATATTGATAAGGACATCAGAAAATATCTTTTAAAGACATTGTGGGATGAATAATATGAAGATTAAATTTATATATACCTAAATAGAATAGATGGCGTTAAATAATTGTATGCATATTGTTGATATATTTAATATCAAGAGCATTGATTAGTAAATTTTGTCAGATTATTAACTGTAATATATTCTCTAACTGTCAAATATGTCTGTAAAAGTGGAATTTTACCTAGTATTTTATAACTAATTCTATATAGTAGAGTAAAATCAACTATATGTCTACTTACTTATTATAAATAAATTTCTTATAATTGTTTGGAATAAATTATTACCATGCTTTTATATTAAGGTATATACAATACAAGTAATTTATTATATTTTTATTTTATATAAACTAATAAAAATATATTTCATATTTGTTCCAGGCTTATTTTTTTTATTAAAATTTGTAAAAATATTTTATGATTATATATAGGTTAAATTAACCCGGCCGAAGGTCGGGGAAAAGGAGGCCGAAGGCCCGCCCAAATGGAAGTCTGGGGGCGAAGCCCCCAGTAATTTCCCCCCCCCCCTTATGAAAATCCTGGCTACGCCTATGAATGAGCTTAATAGTGCCATTATATTTATTATTTTATTTGCGATAAAAAAAAGATAATATTATATTTTTAAAGTGTTTGTAAATTTAATGTATGTAATCTAGGATTGTTAAAAAGCCCAATCAGGGTCGAATTTTAAAGACCAGATTACGATTTTAGCCAAATTCATATTACATAAGCCTCCAGATTTGGAAATAGACAAGCCTTATGACATAATATTATTTTGGCTAAAATTTTGATCGGGTTGTTTTCCACCCGAATCAAGCTAATTAACAATTCTAGTAAGGCCTATTATTTCTATCGTATTTTATTTTAAACTAACAATTCAGGAGAAATGAAGTATGGATAATGTTAAATAGAAGCAGAAATTTTTTACAATTAATCTAAATTACATACTATTTGATGGCGAATTTCATATACTTAAAAGCATATGTATGTTGGAAGATTATGGATAACTTTATCATATATGAGTTAAGATCGTATTTTGGATTTCGGTTAATTATGAGGTTCTTAGAAGTAATTTATTTAATGTTTCTTTAAATCTTTAAAAATATTTTTATTTTATAAAAGTTTAAATTTTTTAAAATTTTATATTATAATTAAAAAAAATAAATTTCATACAGATGACGTGACATAGTCTTTACATGACTTAGTAATGACCTGAGATACATAATCGGAAAATCAAATAGATGTTTAATTAGATATATGATTTAACCTTTTACTTCTATAATTAAAATAAGATATTTATTCGTTTACCCGCATTTATTAAAGTTAAAAATACCATATATTTTTCACTCTAACATGATTCAAGTTTTTTTAGGGTAAAAATTTATTAAAAATATATCTAGCATTATAAAAAATAGTTAATCTTAATAATTTATTTAATAAAATCTCCAGTACACCCTTTAATTGATATTGGTGAAATATCTCCTCTAAAGTGCGGCTTAAAATTGATATGGATAATCTGTTTCAGCGAGAATTTTCCCAAAAACTTATGCTCATTAAAGATGATATCAAGAACGCTAATTTGATTGTGGATTTGTTAGACTTAAAAGTATATATTTACATTTATCTTTAGTATACGTTGTTTTAGGATATCGAGGATGGAAACATTCCAATTTATATAAATGGAATATTTGAAGTTTTAAAACACCTATTAAAAACTCAATTTGATAATATTAAAACTAATAATACAGGTTTTAAATTAATTATTATCATATAAATATGCTTATGAAAAGATATTGGCGAAAAATTTACATCTTGGATTACAACACGTTATCTGGAATTTATAAATGTTATAATAAATCTAATTCCTAAAAATAATTATAAACAATTGGTAAATTTGGTTATCTATGTTATATTTTTGTAGAATATGATCTTTAGAGTAGTATTTGATGTACATTTTATTGAAAATCAATACAACATTATATTTAAAAAGAATATTAATAAAGGCAAAATATTATATGTAAATTGAATATAATTAAATTATCTTATCCAAATCTATAATATAGGAAATTTTAAAAAGCCTTTTGAGTATGAACTCCTCAGAATTCAGGGAGGAAGTTATACCACAGATAAAATATTTTTTACAATATGCTGATATAAGATATCACATTTTAAAGTCAACATTGAATATAATATCATCTGCAGATAATACAGACACTATATTGAAAACTAAGAAACATTTTGTTTTAAATATGTATTCACTTTTGATAGTTATAACTTCCTTAAGTCAAAGTAATCTTTATATTTTTTTTAAAAATATAATATATATATCAAAGAGTATAATAATAAAGGTACCAAGTTGTATCACATTGTTTCTCCACTTTATTTTAATAAAGAAGATACTGAAATCATAAATGTTAATGTTGAAATAGAGGTTCTTAATGTAAATCTCCCCTTTACAGGCATTGATGAAAATGAAAATGTATTGGATATTAAAAGAAAAAATGGAATTACAGTTGGTTGTTATAAACAATTATTGTCAAAAATTTGGTTAAAATATCTAGAAAATTGCCAGGTAATATTTTTATTTACTACAGAATTTAGTTTATTTTGCTTTATATTACTTTATCCCCCACCCCCATACTATATTAGCTTGATGTAAAAATATATACAAAGCTCCTACGAATATTAGACACTAAAATAGTGCCATTTATTGAAAAACCATTGCTCCTCTCTGATTTTTTGATGCGTTCTTTTGATTCAAGTTTATAAATATTATATAATATAAATTTGTTTAATATTTTTTCTATGGCTAGTTTATTTATATTTAGTATTGTCCTAAAATTGGTGGTGGGGGCATGCTATTATTCTAAAAAAAATAGTATGGCGTGTGCTAAAATTGGCAAAAAATACAGGATTTTTGTTTTTCTAAATTTTTTTTTAAAATTAATTTTTTAAATAGTTTATCATTTCTCATAATATACATTATATTATGTTATTTAGAAAGATATATAAAAATTGAAATATATTGCAAAAATATATATTGCCAAAAAAATGACATAATTTTTTTAGAATACATTTCATAATTATATAAATAATGATACTATATCAGATTAGATCAACAAAAGGTGATAATAAACTACAATATTTGCTATAAGGAATCTTTTATAATATTAGCTTCTAACTTCCTTGATTGGTTATCGTTTGCAGATCTATGACTTGTCAGCCACTTTTTAATATATTGAGAATAATTACAATGACTTAGAGTAGGCCTAACATTTATCATCATTAAACCAGAAATATGCTTTATCATAAGTCTTGCAAGCAAATCTGTCATAATTACATTCATAAGGTTAAAGCTGCACGCATTCTGCAATACTGCCCAGAATTGTGTTAATACAATTTTGAACTCTTTCAAATCTCAGGGGCATATATTAGATTCATTATTATCATCAACATATTTAATCATCACATTTATTGCAAAATCCATATTAAATCAAGATTCAGTCATAAACAAATTCGTTTAATTTACTCTTCCCCAAAACTAATATGAGGGTCTGTTTTTTCTAAATATTTGATATCATATAAGATAGCTAAACTGTTTTTGAAAATTTGTAAATTAATTTCTAAATTAAATTAAGTTATTTTTGTTTGATGGATACTCACTATGTAAAGCTTAATAATAACCGTTGTACAAATCAATGAAGTACAGAGCGATAGTCCTCTTGGAAAGGCCTGGTTAGAACTTGATAAAAAAACAAATGATGCCATTCGGAAAAAAATAAATTTTTTTTGCATTATATATAACATCCGGCAAAACTTTTTAAAAAAACTTCGGGTTCGGGCCGGGCCGGCAAAACTTTTTTAAAAAAAATTTCGAGACCAGTTGTAGACAACAATTTCAATTTTCGTTAATTTGTTATTCTTGTGGAATTGAAAATCACAAAGCAACGCATTGCCTGAACAATTTGTATGTCCATTCTAATATTACAGCTCATTCTTCTAAATTCAAATGCGCAAAGAAATTACTCTTTAACTCTGAATATTTTTCCTCATAATGTGATGATCAAGAGACTGCCTGTTGATAATAATAAAGATTTTAATGTAAGAAAGATGGCGATGAGGAAAGTATATATTCAAAAACTACTGAGGAGACCCGTAATATGAAAGAATAATATCGTGACTGAAGATGTCCAAGAAAATTTTGCAGTGTTAGCTTCTTTAAATGAAGTGAATGATAAATAATTTTTTTTATACAAATAATGTTTATATACATCATAATAATATTGTTTGTTTTATTTGTAGTATGATAGTTTTTTTTAATATTTAATGTATATAATATATATTTGTAGTTGTCTAAGAATACCTCTGAAAAATAAGGGAGGTGTTCTAGATATTAGTGTTCGCGTTATATTATTAATATTATTTTGATATTATTATTATTGATTATTATTTTTGTATTATTAAAATCGATGTTGTAAAATATTAATATGATTTAGTTTTGTTTTTGAAAATAAAAGATATGATAAAATTTTGTGTTGATATTTATTTTTTCTAAAAAAGACGAAACTAAAACTAATCATATTATACTATTTTACAACATCGATTTTTCTAATAAATTAAAAATAATAATATCAAAATAATATTAATAATAAAACGCGAAAACTAATACCTTGAACATTGATAATCATATTTGATGATGTATTTTTTTTAGCCAATCCTTTATAGTTTTATTTAACAATCATTTATAAATTTCACACAAACACATATGTTTAATATAATAAAATGAATGTGTGTTTAATTAATAACTTATTCTCATGGATTATTTTTACCCAGGACATATATATAAAATATTTTTATTATATTATAGAACTTTATATAAATAAAAAAAATCCTAACCTTTGCCAACCCATCAAATCTAGGATCCGGAAGTGGAACCGATTTTTTAAGCCAGAATCACCTTCTGGAAAAAATCACCATCGAGAGTTTTAAATCTAATAATTCAAAAAGTAGTAATTTAATGGCGTATATGTGATTAATTTGAAAATGAGAATCGCTAGTAGAGGTAAGAACCCGCCCACCCGTTATTTTTTTTACTCTCCTGCCCGCTTATTTATAATTTGTTTAAAAATATTGACCCGCCCGCCCGTACATTTATCTAAAATTTTATTTATCCCACCCGCCTAATGTTTAAAAATTATTTTAATGGCTGGTTTGGCTCTTTATTTATTTTGATATATTTTTAATTAAGCACATATAATATGCAATATTATAAAATAAAACTATTATTTTTAAAAAATAAGTCCTTTCTGCTCATTTCGCCTGAAAAATTGTAAAAATTCACCCGCCCACGCCTGCCCATTATTTATATTTTTTAAAACCCGTCCGCCCATTACCTATAAATTTTTTTAACCCGCCCAACGTTGAAAATATTTAAGAAAGCCTGACTACGACGGTCTGAAGTATGGGCGGGCAGGCTAAAAACCTATCGAATGCAGACATCTAATATCTAGTCCCCAATTTCATATATTGTTCAAATTGCCCCAGGCATCCTGTATCACTGAAAATTTTCCAAAACGGCATTTGCTATTTATATTTTAAATTACTTATGATCTCCATTGAAAAATATCGGTATACCTCTTATTTAAAATCTAATTTAAATTTCTAAAATAAATAAATAGATATCGTGATGGTACATTCGAGCCAAATACCTATCTCCTGTCTTAATAGTATTTTTCTCCTGATGCAGCAATGTGGATTAGAATACCCTGATTTTTACGGCAAATTATATTCATTACTCACAGCTGATACCATGCATTTAACGGATTCTGATTTACTATATCGTCGTAAATTTTTCCAATCCCTAGATATGTTCCTTAATTCAACGTTTATATTTAATTTTTTAAAATATATGATGAATTATATTCTAACCTTTTAAGGGATTTAAATATTTTTTAATTTAAGTAAAATATTGGTTGATTTCGTAGCACGACTAATTTTAAACAATTACTCCTCTCTTTTTTAAAAACTAGCAAATAAAATTTTGGCTAATATCTATTTTAATTTAACTCAATTAACGAGACATCTGTATTACTCAAGAATTACTCCTCACCTAAAAAAAAATTCATATATTTTTAAATATTTTTTTTTCCTAAAAATAACTTCGTATAACAAAATGTTATAAAGTTAACACCTCTAGAAGGAAGTTTTATAAAGATCTGCTATTTTAATCAATGACCATTTTACTGAGATAAAACATGTTACCCTTTTAAGGCATATACCCAGCTACATAATATGCGCATTCGTCAAGAAACTTTGTCGCCTCCTGGTCACTTGCGGACTTAGCTCTTCCCTCGTATGCCTTAGTTTGGGTCTCATCAAAAATTTACTGTCGCGACATCCGGAATGCCAGAAAAAAATGTTTATGGATCACTTTAGCGACACTACTAAAAATTTAATCGAGGCCAAAAATATTGATTTATTGGGTTAGAATTTTCGTTTAATACATTTTTTTACTATAAGATTTTAGGAGGGTTTATTGCTTTAAATAAAATAATAATAAATCAACAAGGTGCCCAACCAGGGTTGCCAGATAAAAATTATTCGATTATGGTAGATTTCTTAAATTTTTTCTTATCATTTTAAAATTTATACAAATTAGCTAATATGATATCTTAAATGTTAATTCTTTTTATCGTTTATCAGGTTGAACATATTAAATTTAAAAACAAGAGATAAAATAGAAAGTGGGAATTAAATTTCTAGCTAGAAATGTCGTTTTTTTGGGCATAAAACATATTTTTATATCAAAATAATGTTTTTTTATGAAATTATTGTGGTATATTTCGGAAATTTCGAAATATGGTAAAGTCAAGGGTATAGCACGTGACCTTTCTTCCCTTTAAATACATATCAGATTTTATAGTATATTGCATTCTCTTCCTGTATTTTAGATACGTTTCTTGTCGAAGAAGCAAGAATTTTAAATCAAAACAATTCTACCGAATATCCTCTCTGGGAATTATCTACCCTGACTTGTCATCATTCTGCCACTGTTAGACGATTAGCCAACAATTTAATGCAACAATTATGTAAATCGAAGATTGATTCGAGTATGAATGAGTTGAAAGAGGTGGATTTAGAAGTTTACTTTGAAACTAACGATTATCAAGTTTGTAATTATCTCTTTCTATATATGTATAATAATAAAAAAAAATTTCTTGCAATAATTGAAGAGCAATTAAAATCATATTTAACAAATAGCCCGGACATGTCAAGAAGTCTATCATGTTATTGTTTGAAAAGAGCAGCAATAAAAAAAATGTTGATATATAATGAGATAAAGAATATGATATTTTAATAAATACAAATTTTTGATCCCATGACTCCAATCATTATACTTTTTTCCCCGTAACACGAATATGACTAGTTAAAAATTGATCACAGGATTAGGATTTAAGATTTTATTTTATAGTGTTTTTAAAAAAATATTATTCTGTAGATTAAATCTTTTGACGATTTAGTTATACAAAAAAATATAAATTTTTATTTTTTATTCCTTATTTTATATTAAATCTTATTAAACTTTATTTAGATATACAAAAACGATATCTTATTGTCAAAAAATCCTGTGAAAACGATTTAATATAGTATGAAGTGATGTAAATTTGTTTTTAATGGGAATACGAAATTATGAAAACTTTCTCTTGTATATAAAAATGTTTTTGAATAGATATTAGCTAATTATTATACATTTTAGTTGAATACTATTTTATTATTATTAAATTTATAAAATGCAACATACAACAACGGGGAAGTATAATAAATATTACACGTCCATTTTTATTAATAAATAAATATATATACAATTTGTATTATATACGCTTGCCACTTTTTTTCGAATGCAATTTCAATTATATTACCCTTTACCAAGTGCTCTCATGAATATAATTTTATAAGTTCGTCACTGACTGCCGAGGGAGTAAGAATCCCTAAATCGGTAAAGAGTAGCGTTATGTATTGAGGCGGAGTATAATCAACAGCAGGGTGAGCCGATTCGAAACAATTATTGTTAAAATGGGTAATAGTGCCATTCTCCTCGTAGTTATCGTTATTTGTAATTGTAGGCGATATACTTTTTTCGCATAGATCGTTTTTAAGAATATCGGGGGAGTATTTGAAATGGTCGGGTATGTCTCGTTGGTTAAGCGGGTAAAGACGAACAAATTTAAAGCTCTCAACGCACACGTAAAGTCGTTTATTGTATGTCTTTGCTACTAAGGCGATGGTGTAAGAGCCTGTTTGTTCGTTATTATTTTTATAATAATAATTGTTAATGCATCCTAGATCACGCAAATTATAATATTAGAATTTTAACACTAGATGGTAAAACGGCATGTTAAATGTTTAAATTTTCTAATTAATTTGCAAATGTGGAAGTTAAATTTTGAATATCTGTAAATTAGAGGTATAATACCTTTTTAGAGACCAATCCGATATTGCCTATATCAAATTTATATTGGTTGATTACTAATACGATATCATTAATCAGATTTTCGTTTTACATATTTAATATATTTTAATTTTATCATATGAAATTTTAATTAATTAGATGTATTTATAAGTTACATTTATCAATGTAAAAGTTTAAAAATCATTTATATATTTTATATAGTAAAACCATTGTACATTTTGGTCTAAGTCTTTCTATCATAGAAGAATCCCATTTAGATTATTCATGACCAATTTAAATTTTAAATTATTTTTTTAAAATTAAAAAAAATATACTTTAATTTTAAATAAAAATGTTCTAAATTTATACATAAATATTAATCTTTTTTAATGAAGATACCATTTTATCGGATCTGATCGGAAAATGTAATAATATTTGGGAATAACTAATATTTGAAAAAAAATAATTAGATTCAATATCGGTATATTTTACTCTAAATAGATATACATTGTAATGATGTCTCTAAAATTGAATCGAAAACAATTAAATAAGGAACACTGAACGAACATTTATAATATTTGGAACAAAGAACGGATCTTTATATTGAGTTTCTTAATTTTTCTTAAAAGTTCTCTAGATGATATGAATTTTTTTAACCCTGCATTCAAAGTTAGCGCGAATGCGAAGTTTATATACTTTTAATGCTGCCGAGTATACCAAAATAGAGTGTATTTTGTATAATTTACACTATGAATGAGGGGTAAGGCTGTACCAATATTAAATATAAAATCAGGCCGATATTTTCAATCAAGGTTATTCTTTTTTCATTTTATTAATTTATATAATATTTTTCATTAATAAAGAGTAACTAAAAATATGATCGAGTCATTCAGATTCAGCCATAAACATTTCCCATATTTTAAACGAGGTAATTAACTTTGGGGAATAAATATACTTTATAACAGAGAAGGGGGGTCAGACGGAGGTTCACTAATCATGGTAAACCTGGAAAATGACTTAAAGAAAACGAAATTATGCAATTAAATATGGCCTTAGCAAAGAGAACGAATCTTGTTTACGCCATAGTTTATTTAGTTATTTTTTTTGCCTAGAATATTTATTGCTTTTTTGTGACGTTAGTTGATAGATGGTGAATCAAAATAATATCGAATTGGGGCATGATATTGAATTAAATTAATGAAAAATTTATGGATCAGCACGTTTAATTTTCTTAATAACAAAAATTGATAAATAGTGTCACATTTGCATGGTTTGATTTGAAATGTTATTTTGTATTTTGAAATAAAAAAAGAGGGAATTTATTTTCTATGTGTCACAATAATTTTTCTTATTGAGTAAGGTGGAAGTGCTGATAATTGCCTAAACTTTGCACCCATCAATATCTTCTCAAAAACCTAATTAAACCAATAAATTTGCATTTCTAAAAATTTTTTTAAAAAAGTTCTGATACCTATCCATTATAAAAAGATATTTTATTTCCAGTTCAAAACTAAGAAAAATAATATGAAAAAGTGATAAAATTATTTAGGCTATGTCGGATTATCTTATTTCTTAGGCTGTTTAGTCGTATATACAGCTTCTTTGAAATAGCATAGAAAGAAAGGCTATTTAGATTTATGAGTAAATGTGATTTGGCTTACCAATCATTTATATAGGGTGTTCTAGTTTAAAATCTATTTGCCTAAAGCTAAACGGAATTAAGTTTCAAAAATAAAATGTGTTGCAAATAATTATGACAAGAATGGCTTGGAATTTTGTTAAAAAAAATTATAACTCCAGTAAACCCTTTCAGGTAGGATAATTTAAACTTGATGCTTAGATTCATTTTTATTACGATAATTATCAAGAGAATTCAAGGCGGACTTTAGAAGAAACAAAAGTTAAAGAAAGATTAAAATCGATAGACAATCGTTAACTAACAATCGTAAGTTCAAAAACAAGCGTTAATTGGGTACAAGCTATCCCCAATTGCTTACAGAGACAAAGAGATAATGGTTTACCAGAGGTTGAGAAGCAACAGAAGATAGGATTGAAGAATTTCAAGCTGTTATAAAAAGAAATAAACTTTGTAAATGCAGGTAATCTGATACAAGCAGTCATTAGAAGCTAAGATTGCAAGACAGACAGCCATCGTTAAAACTTAGAGGACACAAAATATTAACCATGATGTGATTAAAATAAGTCAACAGATGAAAAATAAATGAAGACTAGTGTTTGTAGAGATACTAGAGTAAAGCTTGAAGGGAATTTGAGCCATTTGAGGTATTGTTGGTCTAATTTACATGGAAGGGTGTTGTAATCTGCAAATATATTTTTTATATAATTTATATTTTTTTATTATATGCAAAATTATTTAGTGGATTATGAAAATTGGTTTTGCAGAGACAGCATATTTTGTTAGATAAATAATTTTGTTATGTAAATGAGATGAAAACGTGAGATTTTACATATTTTATACTTTAAAGTTTAATAATGTTTAGTTATTATTTTTTTTATACTCCATAAAATTTTTTTATTTGAATTTTTATTTTATTTATACCATTCACCTTATGATTGTAATTATGATTATTGAATGAATAAATATTATTAAAGGGATTATATTTTAGAACCTTTATTATTTATATATACATCTTTACAGAGATTATTCAAATTTCATTTTTACAATTAATTATGATGATTAAAACTGATTTAATAAGATGAAGGTGTGATCAATGTAATGATCCCCTTCTCCTAATCTTATTCAAAAATTTTTATGCTTCGAAGTGAAATCCATGGGATACCACTTATTTTTTTGTAAAATTTAACATATATTTTGTTTTATATATAAAACAAAACTTTTTACAAAAGGAAATAATTATCGATATGTTTTTTTGACTGGAAAGTTGTAGGTGTGAAAAAAAGTAAATCAGTGTAATCCTAATCTGGATATATAATTAGCAAACTAAAATTAAAAAAAAATATCTTATTAGTAAATCATTGCTAAGAACTATATTTTCAATATATAAAATATTTACCAATTTTATTTATTATTCCTCCATTTTCAACAACACCTTCTGCACCTAAAAGTATCATATCTACTTTTTCCATTATATAACCAATAGCAGAATCCAAGATCATTATATGATATATTCCAGATTTTTTTAAAGCATTAATCATTTGCTTGCCTGAAAAATTTGGTGCAGATTCAGTGACATAAACTTTAAAACGTTTATTAGCAGCTTTTGCCTCTTGAAGGGCCTTCAAAACAACACGTGAGTAGGAGTGTACAAGTATGCTATCACCATCTTTAATGAAAGGATTGCATAACTTGGCAATTTTTTGACGGGAATTTTTAATCTGATAATTTATATTTTTACATGTAAATATTCAAATAATTACTTTCTCAAGATAAAGTTTCCCTCTCTCTAATAACACTTTAGTACATTCTTGAAAATTTGGTTGATCTAAAGATGTTAACGTAATAAAACGCAAAAACAATTCACACCCTGATGACACAGATGTCACGTTTTTTCCTGTGTTAGTCATCAGGTTTATGGCCTTTTTTAGTGTTTCTCTCAATTCTGACAAAGTTTCAACATCACATTTACTAATAAGTAGTAAAAGACTTTGAATAGCAGCTACTGCTGGATTAATCTCCGCATCTTTATCCATAACATTAACAAAGTTTTCTAAAGCAATTATTTCAACCATCTGATTTATTATGAATGAGTGTTATATATATTTTTTTTATTGGTTGTCCAAAATTCGAAGTTATATTGCTACGTGACTTTCCGGCATCTATCAAAATATATTTGTATCGAGTTAAAAGCGTTTGTTTAAAGTGTGTGATTTAACATATTATTCGTAATTAAATGACAATATATTGTAAATTAAAATAGCTATTATACTAGAAAATATGGAATATAATAATTTGGAATTAGGTTAGTATATTTTTAATTGACATATATAATATTATGGATAGTGAAAATCTTAATCAATTAAATTGATTTGTTATATTGTAGGTTTTATTAGCTAAATTTTTAATCATTGCTTTTTAAAAATAAAATTTGAACTTTTTCTAATATTTCTATAATTTGTAGAACTTAAACATATATTTCTTATCTGTTAAAATAAGCAGTATGTATGCTACTATAATTGATAAAATCAAATCCTGTGTATCTTTTATTTTACAATTTTCAATATAATTATATTTTATGATAGATGAACTTCCTCACAAGTACATATAGTCTGTCAGTAATTTCATTAGATCTAGGTATGACCAACCTTTTTATTAATAAAATTTTTATCAAGTTTAAAATTTTAATATTATGTATTAGATTTAATTATTCTACATTATAATTTAACTCATATGTAGAGACCTGCAAAATCAACCTGGCCTATATACATGCAAAGCTCAATGACTGGATTTATATGTTATTTTTGAAATATTTAGAGGGTGGGGGCCAAAAATAAAGGTTAGAGGTATATAAATTATGAGCTATTTAAAAATTTATTAGGCATTACCGCACTACATTTAGACTCTAAAATAGACATAAGGCCACTGAGCAGCACGAAGTATAGGGGTAGCCAAGATTCTCCTAAGGGGAGGGGGGAATTAAAAATTTTTTGTCCGTTTTACCCGGCTTTCGCCGGGTTATCTTAGTCTATAATAGTCATAAAATATTTTTACAAGATAGGAGGTTAATTTTAATAAAAAAAATTAGCCTGGAACAAATATAAAATATATTTTTATTAGTTTATATAAAATATAATAAATTACTTGTATATGCATTAATATAAAAGCATGGTAATAATTTATTCCAAACAAGTATAAGATATTTATTTATAAAAAAGTAAGTAGACATATAGTTGATATTTCTCTATATAGAATTAGTTACAAAATACTAGGTAAATTCCACTTTTACAGACATATTTGACTGTTAGAGAATATATTACAGTTAATATTTTAACAAATTTTACTTATAAGTGATCTTGATAATAAATATAGCAACTATCTGCATTTTAACGCCATCTATTTATTTTAAATAAAAAATAATATTAAAAATTAATTTTCATATTATTTATCCAACAATGTTTTTAAAGATATTTTCTAGTTTTCTGTAAAATATTTTATTTGCTATATTGGTAAATATTATTTAATTGTCATATGATAATTGATAATGAGATATAAATATACGACATATAATATTCCACTATTTGTATTGTGCTTTAATTTTTTTATTTAATTTATGATAATTTTATCAATAGTTTTTATAATTATATTTTACTTTTATTAAGATAAATAAATTATAATTATTCACTTTATATATTATATTATTTAGTAATTTTATTTATCTATTTTTAATAATTATAATACATTTCACTTTTGTCTTAAAACTTGACTTTGGCTTATATTCCATTTGTTACAAAACATTTATGGTACACTTTTTTTATATATAAAAGCTTTTTTCGAAAAATGTATAAATTATGATGAATAGTTTTATAAAAAAACATCAACTTTTACATTCTTTCTTTCAAATTATTGTTTAAGATATATGCATACATTTTTGGGGGTCAGGGAGTGTGAGGAAGACTAAGGGGGATATTTTTTATTAGCTTAAAATGATATTCATAAAAAGTGGGAAATTTCTGAGGGGGGGGGGGAGAAATTTTCTTATCCCCCCCCCCTAGTTGCGCATATGGCACGAAGTAACTAATGTATCTTTTAGTTTTTACCCAACTACGCGGTTCAAGTTAAGTTTTGATACCAAGCTCTTAAACCGCATTAGTAATTATCTTCTGGATATGCTATAAAGATATGGGTTAGGATATATATTAGATTATGAGAAATACTGTATTTTATTAGACACCAAACCCACTACATTCAGTAAAATCTAAAAGACTGCTCCTAATAAGAAACTTTTAGTTTACCTACGCAGTTCTTGTTAAGTTATAATACCAAGCTCGTGAACCGCTTTGGTGGTAAGCTTATATGCTAAAAAGGTTAGGGAGGGTTATTCAAATTAATCTAAAGCTTCATGTTGAAGTAAATTAAATATATGAGAATTTGAGTTTAAATCAATTATTAATGAATAAAATGCATTTTATTGTATGTAAAAGATATAAATGTTTTTATTTTAAATATAAATACAGAATTTAACGAATTCCACTTATCTTAAAATTTCCTTATTTTAATTAGCTCTTCCCTATTTGCCTACATAACGAGGAGGTCTTCAATTTTCACCTCACATCCCCTCCCCCATTCCCCCATCTTCTATTCAATTTAATTGCAATTACTTGTTCCTTTTTGTCCCGAATTTCTTTTAATGATTCTATTTCTCGTTTATTGAGTTGATGATCTACGATTCTGCCGGACATTTTTAGGTCAGTTGGTCCTCCAAGGTCTGACCACTCCATATCTAGTCATTTAAACAACTTCCTGCTCCCCATATTTCAATGTGCATTTGTAAGTCTTCTAATCTAAATAATATTCAATTACTTAAAAAAGCAAAAAAATAGTAATGACCACAAATGACTAGACGCGATTCAGAAAACAAAAAACGAAATGATACGAGTTCCAAATAGCCATCGGACATCAGTCAAGTTATGTAATTTCCTTAGTTGGCACTTATACTGCATGTAACATGCAGATTGTCTTTTGGTAGGCACTGTCTTTCTTGTTTTAAAATTAGATGCCTATTTTTGTGGCACGATAATTTTATTTGCTCCAGTTTCCCCAATAATTAATATTTAAAATCGAACATAATGGGGAAATCCCTGCCCCTGCTCTTTTTTGTTCGAGGATTTAAAGAAATAATACTGAAATTAATATTTGATATAATAGATAACGGAACATTAACCGGCCCTCTGTAGCTACTCAAAGAAGAAGTATGCAATGACCGGATTTTGAGTCCATCCACACTTACCCGACATAGTCGGGTTATTTTAAATATTTACAACATTGGGTGGGTAATGGGCGGGTTAAAATATTTTTAAAATAATGGGTGGGCGTGGGCGGGATAATTTTTAATATTTTTCAGACTAAATGAGCAGAACAGACTTGTTTATCTCAAACAATTAAAAAACATTAAAAAATTAAAAGAGCAGAACCCATCATTACTTAAAAATTTGACGGGCGGGGCGGATGGGTTATTATAGATAATGGGTGGCGAGTAAATTTTTTGTAATTTATAAGTGAGTGAGCGGGTTAAATAAATATCAAAGCAACGAGTGACAAAAATCTCAACAAAAAGAATGTTTGAATTATATTATAACGACCCTATTTTTGATTCCAAAGAAAAATTCACAGTACCTATTTTCATCTAATAGATGTTGCAAAAATTTAATTGAAGATAGATTTTATCATAAAATCACATTTTAAATTTTTTTCTATTTTACACAGAAATAGCAAATTAACGAAGAAACGCTATTTATAAAAAAATGTCAGCAATTTAAGTGATTTTAATTTAGAGGATAAAAAAACTAGCAAGAAGGCTTTAATATGTCACTAAGTGAAATTCAGAAGAAATAATCTCTATACTTAACCATCGCAATAAGATTAACTATAATCCCTGTTTCAGTGTATATGAAAGAAGTTTTTAAATTAAAACTAATCAAGTAATTTTAGATCATCTACCAACCAGCAGGGATTATCATCATTGGCAATAATTTCTACTAAAGATAAATTTTTAAAATATAAAAAATGATTAGTAATTTTCTAAAACATATGATAGATTATAAAATTAAAACTCATATTGATTTTTTTTTGAATTAGAGTATCAGTTTAGTGTTTTTTCATATAGAATTAATTAGAGCTTAACATGGGATTGAAAACAATATATTTTTTAAACTCTAGACCTGTCCCAAAGATTTTTAAACTGGGCTTACAATTATGATATCTGGAGATCTCTTCTTATAATTATTAGTATGTAATGCGACCTCAAAAACAATATCTATATACTAAAAAGTAAGGTTTTCATAAATTTAAAATAACAATTCATACATTTATGACATAAATTAAATATTATGGTAAATTTTATTCATTTATTTTTTAAAGCCAGTCCCATAAAAAAATTGGATTCTCATTTCATGCAAGTATTAACCAGTATATTGAGTTAACCATGCTATAATAATCTCTGCATGCATTCATATTAAAATTTTGAGAAAGTGTTGATTTTATTATGATTTGTGTTCGAATAACGACTATGCAACATGTTCAAGATATTCTGGGCCAGAAATTCTGACACTATATTTATAAATGAGATGTTATGATGTTTACAAAACTCTAAATAAATTTTATTAATTTGATTTATTATAGTTGACAAAAATTCCGAAAGGCAATGCAAATGTTGTTGAAGGAATGGATTATAAAATTTTTTTTAAATAATAGATTATGGAAATATATAATAATTTATCTCAAAAAACTAATTAAAAACAACTATATGATTTTATTCAAATTCTTGTTTTATAATAATATTTAAATGTTAATTTGTCCCTCAAAAAATAATTAAAACAAATATATGGTTAAATTTTTGAATCAATTATCGTTTGTGATTTATGAATTTAATTATAACATTATTATTCTCGAGTTCATTATTATATAATATGGTTAATAATGGATTTAAATAAAATCATTAGCATTAAAAACTATCATAGATTACTAAATATTCAACTCAGGGCCATAACCTTGAATCTTTAACTTG